AAATGGAAGAAATGTGACCGCTACTCATTTCCAAAGACCAAAAAGCAGGTGTTTATCTCAACTAGTTACTTTCACAGTCATGAGCAGATAACAATTCTCCATTAATTTGATTATATTAGATGTCTTTTGGCTCACTCACCAATATGGACTAGATCTATGCGGAGCCTTCCCAGTGATTGATCCATCAACTGTGTCTCTGCTATCTGTACATGTCACCAGCTGGTTCTAGACATCAACTTAGCTGAGCCAGAGCAGCACTGAGGCAATTCTGTCCCAGAACTTCCTGCAGGAAGAACCTTTCCAAAGAACTGAGGTCTCATATGATAATTCAGGTTGGAAGGGACCTCAGAAGGTCTCTCTAGTCCAATCTCTTGCTCAAAGCAGGGCCAGTGCTGACTTTAAACCAGGTTGCTCAGGAGAAGCAGTAGCATTACCAGGTAAAGCTAATCTTTGAATGGGGAATGGATACTGTACTTCATCCCTATGCCCAGTAGTGCAAAGCAGAGGCGTTCAGTGTGCCCCAAGTGCTTCCTCAGCTTCCAAACAGTTGCAGCTTTCTGAATGGCATGCAATTTCTATAAATTTACTGAATTCCATTGGATTTTTCTTCCATGAACTCGTTCAGATTCACAGTGAACTCAGGTAAATTATTAGTGGTGGGATTCAGCTCACAGAAGGATACACCTCATTTGGGGTGCCTACATGTGGGCTTCTGCTTGTCATCTGGGTGCTATTACCATCAAGGGAGAATCACTCAGTGCAAACTAATGCAGCCGAGAATGATTCAGCTGATCAGATATATGTGTCTACACATAACTTTCAACTCTTGCCAATGATGTAACCCATTTCTTGGGTGTTTCTGGTGTTTCTTCTGTCAAAATAGTGACTTAGAAATGAAGTTTAGTGGAACAATTCATGTGAACAATAAAGAAGAAGTCTGGATGGACTCCTCTGGTAAGGGAAAATGTGTTGGAGGTGAACATGGGCTTGTGTGTTTCATTTTAATCCCTTAGAGCATATTTGGTTCCTTAAAGCACCGAATCCACTCCAAGCCTCACAACTCTGAAGCATGAAAAGGTCAGGGAGTTGCTGTGCTGTTCCCTGCCCTCTGACATTTTTGCTGTTGCCTTAATGAGCATCACCTAAAATGCAGAGCATGTGAGAGTTATTGGACTAAGATCAGAAGAGGTCAGAGATTTCCCTGCAGACACATCAAGGGCAAATGCAGTATCAGCCCACATATCCTGCCTACATGCCTTGTGACCACTGGCAAGCAGCCTCCCAACTCAGGGAAGAAAGTCATTGCAGTGTGGGTACAGCTCACTGGAAAAGGGCTCCTTCACCCCAACACTGCAGTAGAGTTGACTGTGTCTTATGTTTCAAGGCATTATTTTATCTATTTACGAACCAGAGATATGATCGCTTTATATTCTGGATATTCTCAGTAGCAGAATGCTAGATGTTAAGACCAGCAGCTGATTTTTGTGTTTGTATTATTGATAGCCACAGGTAGCCAGGTCACTGTAATGTATAGCACTACTTCATACTAGATTCAGGTTAAACTTTAGACAACCCTGACCTCACCAGAGGCTGAAGTTTCTGGAGTCAGGTATTCTACAAAAATTCAAACTTTCCTCAAAAAACCTGAATAATGTATGGGAAATACAATGAGAAGGTGACCAACTCATGTTGGTTGTACCTAACTGGTTCTGTCAAGAGTGTAAACCAACAGATTCAATAGGTGCAAGATGTTTTATATTACGTTATTAGCTGGGTAACTCTTGCAAATCCACAGTGACCAAGGATTTCATAAATATAAATACACACAAATATCTACATACATTTTACCTTGATACTAGAAAATGTACCTTCCTACTATCCATGTTATGCTCTGGCTGGGATGTGGTTAGGGTGGTGAGGACTCATGCTGTTCCATATGTTGCTATGTCTAGGAGCGTCCAGGCTGCTGTCGTATTGACAATATAGCTCTGATAAGTAGGGAAATAACAAACATCTGTGATATTACATTTATATACTGCAGATCCACAGACCACGACAAAGCTGAATATGCAAGGTTTGCCTTGGTTTGTCTCATTTTGGAACTCGGCCCAGAGTCCTTGCTCTCACAGTGGAATCTTATGTCCCTGGCAGGCCATGTAAAATTACATACTAGAGGAAAGAAAAAGGTTTCCTATGATATTTCCAGGTTTTCTTTGATTCTGCACAGCCCATCAATAAGTGTTGATTAGCAGGGAGAATGACCTCAAATCACGTCAGCTGTAGGATGTGTTTTCCTGGAGGGAAAGGAAGAATATGATTTCCGCCTCTCAAAGATAAGGATTATCACAGGTTTTAACAGCATAATTTTCCTCTTTTTTTATAGAAGCCCTTCAAACGAAGGGAAAGGCTAATGGTAGGTCAGTATTTAATTGTTTGAAATGCCAAGGCTTTTGTCAAATACTAACATCGATGCGTCAGTCCTTAGAGCGAGAGTCTCTGGGGTTTAACAGTGTCATTATGACAGAAGAGAATTTAGTTTCACATCCACTTTTGGGCACCTGCATGTCACTCACCTATTTTCCAATACACTTGCCTTTCAAGTTTGACCATTTGGCCTTCCAAATGTGAGATGGGATTTTCTAGAGAGCCTATAGTCCAGATTCTTGAAGGAATACTATCACTTTTTATATCAATGGGATGCATTTGAAGCCTAAGTTGTTGAGTGCCACAAATCCCACTGTCTCTGCGGCCAAAAAAGTAATTGGTTTTAAAAGGAAATGACCAAAGTAATATATTATTAATTTAGTGATATATCAGGTGTTCGGCATGAATTTCTGGATCATGTCATTTTCACTGCCAGCTCATCTGTTTATATTCATGACAGACTTTTATTTCTCACATATAAGTCTTCTTAATGCTGAAGGTTTCATTAATTGATTTCAGTTTCTACTGTATGGATGCTGAAGGAAGCAAAATGCCCACCATTTCAACCTGAATTCCCTTCTATCTGTGGATAAACTGTTTCTGACTAAAAGGATATCAGTCCTGCATATTAAAGAAGAAGATACAAAGATCTATCACTAATGTTTCAGATTGGCAGGGCTTAGATATCAATATATTTTCAGTTTTAATGTAGATAATCGGATTTATGCTGGCTGAAGACTCAGGTGATTTTTTTTTTTTCAGTGCTTAAAATCTGATATTATGCTGCTTTGTTACACAGAAGAAACAGGAAAAGCGAACAGCAAAGGTGGAAAGTGAAAGAGTTCAGCAAAACTTTAAGTGTTAAGGTTATTCAAATATTATTTTGGGGGAAGTTAGAGCGTAAAACCACAAAAACAGATTTAAAGCATGATTTCCCATAGCCTCATTGTTCTGGACTGGTCACAATAACATTGAATTATGTTGTTGTCATGTATGACCTAGCAATTTCTAATGCAGAGGCTACGACAGATGGGATAACCTGCTGATAGCACTGTTCTTGAGCATAAGTTTTGCAGAGTTTGCCTCCTACTCTGAGTCACTCACATTCTCAGTTTCTCTGGCCTGTGTCCAAGCTTGTGTTCCATCCTATCCGTGCAAAGCAGTTTCTTCTGCTTAACACCAAGTTATTCAGTTCAGATACAGGCTTGTCTTGTCTTAACTAAGATACCAGTGAACACAGCAATTAGAAGCAGAATTCAAAACATATTATAACATTGAATGGTTTAGATCCACAGCTTCTTGTTAAGCACAAGTTCTAACAATACTGAAGTATGACAGCATTTCTACTGTATAGTGTTCATTTATGTGAATTACTGTGGGTTTAATATGTTCTACAGCATTTAGATTAATCACAAACTCTACTGATTTAATGATTAATAATATAGTTGGAATATCTATGTCTGCCAGTGTGAAATTCTATAGAGAATCTGCTTTACTTCAGTAGGAAATTGAAATACTTCCCCCATGAGCCCCTCAGGATTCCTGAATTGTGGATGTTTTTTTCTGGCTCCCAAAGAAGTTGAGTGAGATTCAGTTTGAGTCTAAGACACCTAAAATTGGTCTACATGCGAGTTAAGTGTCTAAGCTTTTGTTGTAGTCAAATGAGATCTATTGAATACAAAAGACAGAGCTATTCAGTTGACTCTCAGATGATCACCTACATTTCATCAGCTGAGTGGATCTCATCTCCATTGACTGTGTTCATTACCTATCCAAGTTAGATAAACATTGGCATCGAGAGCCATTTTAGATACTTTTGTTCTTCTATAGGACTTGTGTCAGATCTACCAGTCCTGCATGAACACCATGGCTGTCTCAGGGTATTTCAAATGGCCTTGGAGGCATACTTTTAGGCAATTGAATCATAGTATGGGTGTTTTAGTATTCATGTAGAAATCTGCCCATGGGGCCAGCATTTTTCAGGACCTTGTCTACATGAAATCCTTGTTTTGAGACTTGTCAATCACAGAGATAGACACTTTCAGACTATCCAGAGCTATGCACCTTTCTTACTGTCTATTTGTCCCTTCCTCCTCCTGTCCCATTTGGTAGAGGCAAGCTGAGCAATGTTTAACATGACCATAGCATCCTCATGCTCAAAAGCAATGAATAAATGTCTCAAGGCACCACAGTTCACTTCTATGGGTAAACTTTCTTAAAGGCAAATCTCCGTCTCCTTTGTTTCTCACATGTAAAGCAGTTATGTTCCTATTGTGCCTAGTGGTTGAGCGTTCACTTTAGCTGGATGCAGCAACCATGCCACCATGTTGAATCACCAAAAATGATGGTTATGCCTAGGCTTGAAGACAGTGGTGACTATTTCAAAACTGATTTCTGGTTTTCTTTTCTTTTCAATTTTTTTTTTTTTTTCTTGTTAAGCGAAAGCAACCTGAGGCAACAAATGGCTGTGCAGGTCTGCATTTTACTATTGTGAAAGTAGATCCTAGAAAATTTCTAATACTGGTTGAAGTCAGGTAGAACTATTAAGTGACATTTTCCTTCTTCTCTCCATGCAGCTTTCAGAGGGAATCAATGCGGGCCAAGGACTAGGTATCGAAATCATTGCTACTTTCCAGCTGGTGTTGTGTGTCCTTGCCACCACAGACCGGAGAAGGAATGATGTCTCAGGATCAGCACCTTTGGCCATTGGTCTTTCCGTTGCCTTGGGACACCTTCTTGCTGTAAGTTTTAGCTCTCACAGTTGATATCTGCATTATGCCACCTCAGAATGGGCCAGTGAAGGCAGGTAGATGATGGGCAGATGATAGTTTCTTCCTTCTCCTTCCTTTTCGGAGACTGTCCTTGTTTCTGCAGCGTGCATGACCCTTCTCCCTTTGGCCATGTGGCTGTGGCAGTAAGTGATGAGGTTGCACATCTGTGAGGAGTCACTGTAGTAGGACTTGTTTCCCTGGTGGGACAGGACAGGCATACGGCAAACAGTCGTTCCCCCTTTTTTCTGAGGAAGAACGGGTGGGATGGATGAAGCTGTTGTGACCATCTGAACCACACTGCAGGCTGCCGCTTGCCCTCCTGTGTAATGAAGATGCCACAGGTGCATCAGTGCCTCACCACTGGTTCTCTTTCCACCTCCTAGATTGATTACACCGGTTGTGGAATTAACCCAGCCAGATCTTTTGGCTCAGCACTGATTGCCAACAACTTTGAAAATCACTGGGTAAGTTGAATAAATTTGTTTAGCTTACAAGACCCTCTGCATATACGTAATCTACAAGATCAGAAACGTTTAAACACATAGCATTAGCACCAAGTCAGTGAGTTGCCATTTCTATTTGATTTAACAATGAATAATCCCCTTTTGCTCCTGACCAGCCTCAGGAGATCACAAAGTCCTCAAGCTGAGTTCAAGTATGTTCAAAGTAATACAGAAGATTTTCTTCAGTTATTTATGTTTATTTATTTCAAATATATTAAACTTTAAAGCCTTATTTCACAGTATCCTTTCTTGAGTATTTATTGTTTTGTAAAGTGCTACTGCTTAATCTGGTAAAACCTAATTTAGGAAGGTTCTTAGGCAGGCTTATAAACCGAAGTGGATCATCCAATATTTGGAAGCTAATAAAATGTTCATCTTCTTAAAGTGAAGTGTCTGCTTATGTGTTTTCATTGATAAGTGTTCTGGAAACACTATACATTTTAGATTATTCCCTGCGGTTAAATGTGGTTAAAATGAGGAACTTCATGAAAATTTACTTATTTCACTAAAGTTCAATAAAGAAGGCTAGTACAAAAGCCCTAAATGAGCATATGTTCTTGAATATTTAAAATGCAACTTGTTCCAGCTGTCCTAGCCCTGATTTTGACAGCTATTTGCATAGGCATTCATGGAAATTTAGTGATAGTACAATGGCTTGTGAAAATTTTAGATGTAGATGCCATTTTAATCTAAAGAGTAAAATACAAAAGGAGGACATTGGGGAAATTTTGCCATTATCTCCCACTTAAACACTTCTATTGCAATACTAAGGTAATGTACCTAAGCTAGTAGCTAGTATTTTCAGAATTTCACAGAAAAAATATTCTCCTTTGTAGAGAGAGAGAAGTAGATAGAGGTAATAATACATGTTAAACCACCAATATTGCTGGATGGAAGAAAAGATGTTTTCAGACTCAGGAACTCTTTGGCCATGCAAATCCCTCAAAATCACCTGTTATTTCTAATAAAATCAACCTGTCTACTAAAATACTTTCAGTACCTCTCCCTCCAAACTTTACTTGACTTAAGTGATTAGACCAATACAATTACAACAATATCACTAGCTAAATAGAAAATAGAAGCAAATTAAGCCCCTATTTAGGTCCTCGCTAATTATTACTTTCTAATTCACGTGTCACTGGGAGTTAGAGGGAGAATGGAAACTAATGCCCTTGTTGCTTTTAGAAATTGTGCCCCCCTGCCAAATTGATCTGGAGTAACAGAGATATTTTACCAGTAGATAGCTAATTTTAAATATCAGAACTTGACAACATGGTCACAGTTATTCATCTCTGGGTCTGTTGCCAATTTGTAGTGAGAAATTCCTGATTTCTTGACACATGGTTAATATTCAGGTGATAGACTGTGTTTTTCACTGTAGATTTTGTGCAGAAAATCTTCAGAGGAGATTTTCAGAACAGCTTCAAACGCGGTATGCCTTGATGTATTAATTGAGTTTGGAACTGTGTTTCAGATCTTCTGGGTTGGCCCAATCATTGGAGGAGCAAGTGCTGCCCTGATTTATGACTTCATTCTGGCTCCCAGGAGCAGCGACTTGACTGACCGCATGAAGGTGTGGACCAGTGGCCAAGTAGAAGAGTATGATCTGGAAGGAGATGATATGAACTCCCGGGTTGAAATGAAGCCAAAATAAGGAAGGACAAGGGGAAAAAAAAAAAAAGCACATTGGTTTCTGAAGATTTTATCAGTGTTATAGACTCTTTGTGAACCAGCAAGCAGTACTTTTGTTTTTTAATTCAATATGGGTTTCCATTTTTTGCCCCCAATCTTAACAGTATTTTTATATCTGGGCTTTTTCAAGTACAAAGTATTCAGGCCAAGAAGTCATTAGACACTTTTGTGTGAGCTAAACAAATTGGGCTGAAATTTAACCCCTGCCTTGCCACCACCAAAATTTCTTGTGTATTTAGTGTGGGTGGTTCTCCCAGCACATCTCTCAGTAATGATAGGGAGTTCAAATGATCGGTCTGTTTGCTGAAAGAATAGATACCGAGGACAGAGAACCATCTTTACCAACAATGGGGGCCTTAGAGTGGAAAAAGTATTTATACAAATATGCAAGGCTGGTATCTAATGCCTGCAGGACATGTAAAAAACTATCTCAAATCATTGCCCAAAAGCATCCTTTGGAAGGAAAGGCTACTAAAAATTACTTGTTATGTAGAATTAACCATAATTGTCTAAAAGATTGATAATCTCTGAGAAAGAGGGCCAGAAAAGTTAAGCAGGGCAAGAATGTCCAGATTCCCAAGATCCTTTTAGTTTTTCTAGTATTTCATTCTCCTTGAACTTGCACCCAGCTCATTGTAAGGGGAGAGAATATATGGCAAGAATGTACAGATATATTAATTCCTGGGAAGTAATAACTAGAAGTCAAATTGGAGAGTAGGAACAACAATGGCAAGAAGAACATGGTGCCAGTATGTAAACAGGATCTCATTGTTCCTGTCACTGCTCTGCTTTTGTTCATCTTACATAACTTAACTGTATGTTTTAAAGCAAACCATGCAAAAAGAAGGCCCCTTTCTTCCTGACCCCACTCTAATAGCCACTGCTGTGACATTCAGGGACAATGAATAGATATACACACAGTATATTTTCTAATGAGGGACAAATACATACCTGTGTGTAAGTCCATTTTGGAGGTCGTTGCTTTGATTTATATATATATATATATATATAAATGTTTATATATATGTTTTATACAGAAAGCCTAGTATACTGTTTTGTAAGAAAAAAGGAGTGTAAGACAAGTGGAAAGAATTGCAGCAGTGCTTAGCAAAATAAATGACACTGGAAATGTAAAGAAAATTAACACTCTAAACAATGTGGAAGACCCTTTTCTGTTTTCCTTTTTGTGTGTGTGCTACTTATGAATTCCTGAGTAACCCACAGCATTAGCTGGTCTTACCTACTAACTATAGAATATAGTTAAAGCAGATACGTGCTGATATACTTGTTCTGCACTAAACAGTTTTACACATGAAATGAGGCCCAGAGGAACCTACATAAAGAGCTGTACACTTTACCATTCAGACAAACACCCCAGAGATAATATGATGTATGTATCCTGTTAGAGAGACAGCGTGGACATGGGAATTGAGAGAGGGTTGACATGGGAATCCATAAAGCTTGGATCATTTCATGAAGCTGAGCAGATGTACAATGAAAAAAAAAAAAAAAGAAAATCACCAGCAAACTAAACCAGAATGCATTTTATCTTTCTTGTCTGCATTTGGTGTGTTATCCCGTGTATTGTTTATGTACATAAAGCATGATTGGATTTTGGGGTGGTTTAAAAATAAAATCGGTTGTGCTAACATACAAGGTGTTCGTGATTCTTGATTCTTAATTTGCTTTCTAACACAACATAGTTTCATTTTCTAAACCAGTCTTCAGATGCCCACCTGGAAGACTGAGACAGTTTCTACTTTTTCACTTTTGACTGCTTCTTTGGTTTGATACTTTGGGGAAAGGAGGCTTCTTTCTTTGTATGGCAGGCAAGGCAGGTCCTTATCTGCAAGTAAGCTCTATCTAAATTATACTTAGAAACAAGGCAGGATTCCAGGACCTTGTGCTCACTCTCCAGAAACTTTTTCAACTTTTATTTGCTGGTATCCTTGACCCAGAATTAACCCCTTTTTGCCTTGCAGAATCTATAAGCCAGAACAGTTGCAGAAGTCACCCACAGCAAATAGCTTGGTTTGACAAAGTTGAGGCAACTTTACACCTTTAGCGATGGAGAAAATGTTAGAGTCACAATTTATTCCTCAGTCTACACCCTGCGAAGAGCAATATCTTGGCCTGTTTTCTATGCTTCAAAGTCCAAAATTTTGAAGACAAGCAATATCGCCTTTCTATTTGGTGTGTAATGAGACTACATCATGTTAGCTGCTCTAGCTGCTGCTTATGATCACCACAGTAACAAATAAAATAGATGAAGGATGTACAATAACTGTTTCACTAGTGAAGAAACAAAAAAACAGGTCAAAGTAAATGAAGTGTGATTTGTTGGTGTATTTATTCACGGTGATAATATTTAAAGAATTTACAGTAAAGTTCTTGGAAATTAAGTGAAAATACATTGCAACAAAACTCCAGGCTTAAACCCCTCCCTTCTTAAAGAAGGAAAAACTTAATGGCATGTTTAAAGTGCTTTTGTAGTACTTAGATCCTTAACTGAAAAAAGCAGTTTCTAAACAATGCAAGGCCATAGCTGCTAATGGTCTCCCCACTCCTGACACAAATGGTTTTGTATTGCGCTGGACAAGCACACTTAAAAGTTATCATCATCTCATTAAAATATTTGAAAGATATCCAGCAAAGGAATTAAAAGCGTGAAGCAGCAGATATTGAAACCCACTAACAAATGTCAAGTGGGCAAGTGTATTTACACGTGATCACCCAGAAACTCAACAAAATCTCCCTGATGTTAAGAGGAAGCCTGGAACAGAGTTGTTTAAAACAGCTCCCATGATGTACACTAATAGTTAGTGACCTATGGACAAATAGACCATGTCTGTGCCCTGGTGATTCCTGGGAACAAACCTCTGTATTTATCGCATATTCTAACAGGAAAAGATGATAAAGGGTAGATGTTTTCATCGATTAGCTAGGGATCACCTGCCATGGCCTCAGTATCCACCCTGTTGGGTAGCCCACAGCACGCCAAATACCCACAGCGAGTGGCTACACAGATGCTAGTAAGTGGAAAAGCGCAGGGGAATATTCCCAATTGCAGGAACACAGCTGTCAGTGCCTGTATGGGCCGTTCCAACTAACGTCCTCCCAAAATTTACCCGGGTGAAGTTGAGCTGTGCAAAGATGATCCACTCTGCTCTGTTTGGTCTGAGGACCACTTGTCATCCCACGGGTAGCATCAGCAGTGCAGATGTACTCACTCTGTCATTTAGACACCACAGAAAGTGCCATCTGTTTTTTGCATACACCAGCACAAGACAACTTGGAAGAAGCCTGAGGGACGTGCTTTGAATTCTTCCCTGGGAAAAACCCTGCCACTCCACTGATTCTATAGACAATCTAAGGAGATATGGGTCCTAACTTTAGTCATCTATCTTTAGAAGAAAATACATGCTCTGCCTCCCCATTGTAACTGTGGCAATTTAATTTTAGATTTCATGTTGCTCAACTCTACGTAGACTTTTAACACGTGCAAGGAAAGAAAGGCGATTGAAACATAACATAATGACAGCCAATAAGCCAGGAAGCTTCCATTGTCTTTCCATATCCACCAGCTGCACCAGTCACAATTCACAGCCTAATGTTTTTAAAAATTAAAATAACAAAATAATACTAATATAGAGTTTCTCATAGTATTTCAACGTTTTCCCTCCTTTTACCCAGCTGAAGTTTGGACGTGCCAAGAGTCACACAATAAAATTATATTAAGAACATGGCTGTTATGATTCAGTTGAAGCCTGAGCTCTAGTAAACATTTGTTTCAGGAGTAGTTCTGGGTTTCATTTTACTCAAGCCTGATGTCCTTGAAAGGACCATATTTTTTGTATATAAGTTGTCTGATATTACAGAAATTACTTAGCCCAGAATTACTTCTGGGGACAAATGCATCATTTCATAGACTTTCCGAAGCTGAATTGTGAAATCAAACCTCTGTTTAAATAGGTTCATTGATAATTAGACATTAGCCACCCACAAGGTCACATTGCTTTAGGTTCTTGAAATCATTTGCCACATAGGGCTGTGAATGTTGTTCCTGAGAAGGCACAGTTCCAGTTGACTTCAAGATTCCCTTGTGCTGTTGGACAATATGTGCAGATCTACAAAGGGAGTTAACACATTAAATTCTGATTTGACAGTAGTGGGACATTGCTTCAACCCTCTCAGTGAAATCCTGCTCTCACTGAAGTCACAGTGATTGTCCGTTATTTATTTTGGGAAAGCAAAATGTGACCCCAACTATTTATCACCAGAAAAAACCTAGTTTACTGCCAGATCAGTTATTAGTTGTTGTGTGTTATTGTTTCTCAGTAAAACTTTCTAGGCACCTGTGCTCCTCACCACTTCCATGTAACCACGGATGCTTGCTCATGGCCATTCCTGTTCTTCTAACCTTGCCTAATCCTGTAGGGGGAGATTGGCAGACAATAGTGTTTGGCAGAACCAGTTAGCTACCTCAGCTATAATGGTCTTGAGATGTGGACGTCAGCCCTATTGCCTATAATACTGTGATAAATTACTGTATACTTCAGAATTTGGTAAAGAGGCTGAGCACAAAATAAACCCAGGAATGAAGAACAGATGGAGGGAAGTGACACATCACATCCAAGGCAACTGATTTGTGGATTTTATTAGCATTCAGAAGGATTCATTCTCCTTTCACCTTGATTGAACTGTATACCCTACTGCCCTAGAGCCATGCCTGTTTGAACAAAAGGTCTTCAACTTTTTCAATCATTGTGTTATGAGATTTATAGATTTTGATAAAAAAGAACCCAAGAAACTCAATAAACTCCCCTTTGCATGATCTCCTGAACTTCCTGATCTGTTATGCTCTAAAATTTGCCATGAATTGCCCTCATTGTGCCATTTCCTCTGTTTTGATTCTATTCTTGTCAGAGCAGGAATTAATAGGCTTGTGGTAAAATGATCAAC